GCAACAGAAAAATTCTTCAAAAACCACATAAATAAATAAATTAATTAAAGTAAAAATTTAAAATTTAACACAAACTTTGAGAGTATTTGGGATTTTCCAAGTTATTTCCAAAATAGCAACACTGTTGAGAAAAATATTTACTTTACCTTCACTCATTTGACATTTTAAGAACTTATAAATCTGAYTATTTTATGGTCTGGATTATCAATATGTCCTGTTGATGTAAGGTGAAACTACAATCAATAGTAAATTTATTAATTCGGATTAAACCTGACATCGTGCATTAACCTGAACACGTATACCTTCTTTTACAAAAAAAAAACATTGAGACGTTTAGTAAGACACGAATAAAAGCAGAAATTAAATTTGTCTTTCAATTAAATTCAATAAATATTAGAATATTTCCTYGTAAATCATGTTATGCTTGTTTTGCAAGGTCTTCCAAGATGCATTAGCACTTGAAGTATGTTTTGAGGACAACTCTCAGCTACTACCACAGTCTACATCATCACAATGTCTGTGGTGCTCCTGCAGAGTGGGGCTGAAAAGCTAATTGGGTCAAGAGGTAAATCCAGTAATTACTTTGTGAGAAATATGTGCAGTGGTTCATGAGATATTTTGCTAACAGACAGGTTTGAAGTTTTGAGAAATAAATATTGCACAATATGTAGTGCTTTGATAATGAGAAAAGAATTGACTGAGTTATTTGTTTGTCACCTCTTTCCTTTTGATTCTGAGTTTTTGCTGTTTAACAGTTCAGTTTTGTTTTGGTTTGAACAATTTTGGGCAGCAGGTCTSACAGTTAGACTCTGACTGCAGATCTGATTTATCAGTATTGATTTTCAATTTTCTTCCTTGTGCACAGAAATTCCTTTGGATTATCTAAAGCCCTTAATGTAAATTTATGCTGCAAATGATGAAAAGCCCACTGTTTATATATATATATATATATATATATTACTATTTGACAAATGTTTTGCAAAACAATCAGTTTGGATATTGTTTATGTGTTCTTTGCAATTCTTGCTTTTCATTGTTGAATTTTTTATGTTTTTTTTTTTGCACATTATTCACACTATGTTAAAAATTAAAATTCACAACAATACTAATTCAAATTGTGATTTCAGGGTTTTTGTTTTGTGTAAAACTGTCAACACTTTACCAAARTAAAGTATCTAGTAACTGTCCAACTAACTCGTCATTTTCATTTCTAACAGTTACTTGTTCAGAAGTGTAAGTGTAATTATTTCTCATATATGAACAAAACACCAAAAATCACAAACACATGATTAACACAGTGCACAGTTATAGTTTACAAAAATATTATCATACTGACAATTTTACCAGTGTGTAATATTTGTACTTCGTATATTTTGCATTTTGGAAATATTTACTCTGCTGTTGTGTTGAAGTTTTACTTTTAATTGGGTACTCTAATATTACTGCGTTCTTTTCTTCTAAAAGATCTGAATCTTTCCTCCAACACGATTCCAAACTACTCCCAACAACAAACTCACAGTTTCATTGTCAACACCTTTTAGTTACCCATTTTGCCCAATTCTTTTTCCAGTTTTCTCTCCCTGAGCTTCTGCTATCGCCCTTTATCACAATTCTGGCCCACAGAACGAAATTCTCACAAGATATCAAAACAAAAATCTATATTTAATATGGGAGCAATTACAGAGCAAAGTTGGCTGCACAGGGCTGTTGTCACCAGAGCGCGTTTTTTTCATCAAACAGGTCATTAGACGATGATGGATGTAAACCTATAAAGTATCTAAACTGGACCTTTTAACAAACCACGAGCAACACTATCATTTCTCTAATAGAACCTGCTGACCGTGTCATTCCCTCCTGCCATTTGTCATTTTTCCTTGTGAAATAATCAATATCTGGGCGCTTTGAAATAAATAATATAAAAGCCATAGTAACCTACCCGAGGAGCAACAAAAATAGACTTATGGAACACTCAGTGGCCCTAAATGGCCTCCGGCCAATGTTGACTACATGTTTGTAATCAATGCATAATAAGAGCTGTGCTTTTTTCTTCCTGGCAGACGTGAAGATCTCTGTATATGTTTTTTTTTAACCACTGTTGTGTTTTTCCTTGTGTGCTGGGCTGACAGAAGAGTGTTGTGTTAGTATTTGAGGTAAAACCATATAAAAGTTGGTCATAATTGCAAGATCTGTCACAAAATGTAGTTCTTCATCTTTCATTGTCTCTCTTCACATCTGCATTTTGACAAAAACAATGACATAAGCACAAGTTTCTTCATCATACTGCTGATTCAGCATTCTCAGATAGTTGTCTTCTGTTGTTTTTTTCTATAGGTATTTTTATTTATTTATTTATTTATTGCAATCTGCATATTTTGTGCTATTTTAACATTATTTGACTTCATCGGGAATAGTGGCCCGTGACTTTTAGTATTACTAACTTTTATACTTTTTTGAATTATTGTTTATCTACAGCTCCCCCTCCACCAAGATCTCCTACATTTTTTTCAAAAACATGATTTTCTTAAGTTCACATGACTATTTTTGTCTTCTGAGGCTCCTTTTACTTACTATTTTGTTATTAGTAGGATTTTTTTGCAAATTGTAGCTTCAATGGTGTGCTAGTTTTGTGTTCGTTTTGGTTTTAACTGTAGCTTCGTTTAACTCCTTTTCTGTTCATTTAAACTTTTGAGATATTTGCTTACATAGAATTTAGCTTAGCTTATTTTAGTTTTTAGCTACTGTTTTGTTCACATTACCCTTTGTTCTGCTTGTTTCAGATAACAAATCTTTCTGTCTACAGTTATCTCCAACAAAAGTCAGTAACGTTATTCACCACTCAGCATTCACATTTTTTAAAGAAATTCAGTTTCTCCTTTTGTTTACTTTTTTTTACCATCCATCCATCCATCCATCCATCCATCCATCCATCCATCCATCCATCCATCCATCCATCCATCCATCCATCCATCCATTATCTATACTCATTTCTTCCTTTCAGGGTCACTGGTGCACATATCCAGCAGTCACGGTGCGAGGGGCGGGGTACACCCTGGACAGGTTCATCACAGGGCCACACATAAAGACAAACAAGACAAAAAAAAAACACTCTCTTACTTACACCTAGGCAGAGTTGTAAAGTAACTAACTACAAATACTTCTTTACTATACTTAAGTAGAATTTTAGGGTATCTGTACTTTACTTGAGTAAATATTTTTCAGCCTACTTTTTACTTCTACTTCTTACATTTTCACACAAATATCTGTATTTTCTACTCCTTACATTTTCAAAAAAGGCAAGACATAGAAAGTCGTTACTTTTATTTCATTTCTGCTTGTTTTCATTCCAGCTTATTGTAAAAAATAAATACTATCCATATAAATTGTGCCTCCCACATAGAGTGAATTTAATTGTGGTTGAATGAGAAGTATAAATATATAAAATTCTGATAAAGTATTAGTTTGTACAGAAACAAATCATGTCACACTCGAGCAGGACATAATCATTAAAATAAAAGGACTGTATAGAAGTATTTGTATTTCATGAATTATATCATTACATTTGGCTGCAGCCCTCAGATAGATTTTCATTTGGGGAAAAGGTTTGGTCACCCTTGATATATGTATATAAACTGAAACAGCTAGACTAGTGCATCCTAAATTTAACATAAATTAATTATTTTAATACAATATAGTCATTTCTGCAATTTTCTGGGGAGGTCAACTCCTGATAAATGTCAATATATAAAATCTAACTGCTCATTTTAAATCAGTACTGTTACTTTTAATACTCAAGTACAAAAAAGTATCAGATACTTTGTCTTTTACTAAGGTAATATTCCTAAAGGAGACTTTAACTTTTACCAAAGTATTTTTGGTAAAATACTTGTACTTTTACTCTAGTAATATTCCTAAAGGAGACTTTAACTTTTACCAAAGTAATTTTTTGGTAAGATACTTGTACTTTTACTCAAGTAGCACTTTGTGTTACTTTATACAACACTGCACCTAGGGACAATTTAGAGTTACCAATTAACCCGTATATATA